CGAGACGCTCGCCGGGGTTAAAAACTTGGACTCGTAAGCGCGGCGGTACTTCCGTGATGCGGGAATCTAGAATAGCACCAGGGCTGACCTTGATGCGGCGGAAGAATAGCTCCACGTCCGCAACCGGTTCGAATTTAGGTAACACATCGGGAACGATGTTCAATTGCTGGATACGCTGCGTGATAATCCGGTACGGCATTCCACGCCACTTGTTCTCCGCATAGTACCGGTATATAGGCTTGTCCATATCGCCTGCATGACTGTTAGCATATATACCTAGGTACGCACTTATTTACAAATTCCAGTTAATAAAAATCAAGTTAAACTCACCATCACCGTCCTCAAACTTCCTCTTGACCACGGGATCATTGACGTCAGCCAATATCTTGAGCTCCTCGACGTACTTGCGCAGGCTGGTGAGCCGCAGGTTCTTCTTGCGCTCGCCGCCGGGCACCTGGTCGGCGGGGGTGTCCTCGAGGCGGCGGATCTTGGCAAGCTCCTTGGCGATGGCGCGCACCTTCTCCTCGCGGTCCTCCTGCAGGACCTTGCGCGCCTCCTGGAAGCACTGGTAAGGGAGCTGCTCGAAGGGCACGTTCTCGGACGTGCGCAGGGCGGCGCGGCGCCGCCGCGACCCCACCGGCGGCGTGCCCATGCTCGTCAGCTTCCGCTCCGCCCAGTGCATCGTCGTCGTCTCCCGGTCCATCAGCCGCTCCCGCAGGTTGCGGTATTGCTTGGCCTCGGCGTTGGCTGCCGCCTCCAATTGGTCTATCGATTTCGTGGAGGGCATCGGCGGAGGAGTAGAAGGAGTTGTGGTGGTGGTTGTAGTCGTCGTGGGACCTTCGTCTTGCCGCGGAACGCTGGTGGAAATGGACCGCGGAAGCTGTGAAGTACGCCGTATGAGACATTCCTGCCGTAGGGACTGCAGGAGAGGCCTCGCGGCCTTCTGACAGCTCGACATGGCGAGGTTGTGTCGAAATGTGTGTCGTCGTTATGGGATTTGATATGAAGAAATAAAAATCCGGGACTTTTCTTGCCCGAGCTTTAGGAGGGTTCTTGTAGCGGAGCTCGGATAAGAATTGCAGGCATTCGATTGGTGGAAGGCGATGGCATCTGATTGGCCCGAGAATGTACAGTACGATTATGACGGCCCCACCACCGCTAGTCTTCGCACCTTTACGGCAGTGTAATGTGGAGTTATCTTGTAGTTTAGACCTACCGAACAGTTCTCATGTGAGCGCTGGGGGCGCCTTCGACCGACTATAAATATTGAAGCAAATATAGGGACGAGGCAGTAAAGCAGTCTGCTTTCTTTCTTAGGAATGATTTGATTTGTTAGTTGTCTCGGTTCTTACTTATTACTTATCTTCCAGTCTCTTGACTTCGTCTCTTAACTTATTTATCCTTTCTTTTTGGGTATCCTATCTCTTGGTTTCCTTGTTTCCTTGTGTCTGGATTTGAGATTTTTGCTTCAAAGCTTAACAGAAAAGAAGAACCCTACAATGCCAAAACTCCCTTTCTAATTTTTCTAATTAGTTTCCCTACTGGCAGTTATCTCAGCGAGCTCGGACCAGGAATGCGAATATACCGAATTTTCATGCAATCTTACATGGCATTATGCGAACTAGGGTCGGGTGCAAGAAGGGAGCATCGCAAGGACGGATGGAATAGCGAAAATTGGTATCATATTCAATTGTAATAGACCGACCGGACAAACATTATCAGTCAGTCAGTCTCTCTTGTCGTGCTAGCCACAACTCTCGACTATCTTACTTCTCTTTGTAGTCAGTCGTCACTTATTCCGCATCACGTCTCGCCCTAGGCATAGGCATATCCCTCCTCTCCTTCGCAGCCAGCTTCTTCCTCCTGCGCTCGATAACACGATCGACCTGCTTGCCCCTGAGACCCTCGAAGCGGTCCACGAGCATCTGCTTCTTCTGCTCGCTCTTCTTGAGGTAGAAGGGCTTCTTGCCCTGCTTGACAAGCTCCTTCTCGCGGCGCCTGTGCTCCTCCAGCAGCTTAGCCTCCTTGTCGCGCTGCTTCTGCGCCTGCTTCTTGCTCTGCATGGACGCGAGCGCGCGCTTCAGCTCCTCCTTGGCGCTCGCGTCTTTCGTCTTCTTGATCGTCTCCCGCAGCTTGCCCATCTCCGCGTCCCGGTACTCGTCCAGGAACGCGTACGCCTTGCGCGCGCGGTCCTCGTCCGTGGGGCGTGCGGAGATGGCGGACGAGAACCGTGGGTCCCGCGCCTCGCGCTTCTGCATCGGGACGACTTCGCGCCTGCGCGTTACGGGGCGCTTGCTCGTCTGCTCGGTCGGCGCGTGCTTGTGGGCCCGGTGCGGCCTGGGCAGTCGGGGTTTCTCTGTTGATTTAGACTCGTGCTGGTCGTCGCTGTCGTCACTGTCGTCGTCCTCGTCTTCCTCGTCTTCCTCGTCTTCCTCTGCTGGGCGACGCTTTCCTTTTCGTAAATTAGGTAGAGACGCTTGAGCCTTGGCTAGAGCGCCAAAGGAGATCTGGGAGGCAGCGGCTGATGGGTCCTCTGCTTCTTCGTCCTCGGATGAGGAACCAGACTGTATAAATGGTAAATATCAGATCATATACTAGGGTGAGTAACCATGGCTTGTGCATACCTCATCTTCTCCATCTTCCTCTTCCTCTTCGCTTCCTTCCTCGGACTCTTCGTCGTCGTTACTCCCCTCCGCTGCATCTTCATCACTAAAGGCATCGTCGGAGTTAGGCTCCGGCTCATCCCTCCTTGCTCGTACCCGGCGTTGGAGGTTTGGGGGCGGGGCCTTTCGCTTGTTGTTCGTAACGCGATTCATCTTGACGAAGTGTGACGGTTGTGGCCTTTAATGCCCCAAATTGAGAGTGCAGATTCTCTAGAATCCAGGTCAAAAGCTACCTGCGATGATGCTCAAAAATAGTGGTGGAGATAAGAATATGAAGTCTTATCGATAAGACCTTTTTTTTCAAGGGGTCCTCTTACCTACCAGCCTACCTGCCTACTCCCGACACGTAGCGTAGCGGCATCGCCAGTTCATCATAGGTTAGGTATCTGGTAGTACGAAATAACAGCAAACGGCAAACAGTATAGGAAAGAGCATGATATAAATCGGTTCTAATGCATCGCATGCCCTTCCCTTGCCTCACTTCATTCCGTCATCTCATAAAGAGCTCATATTCAGGGCCTCACTTCGGAAACCACCATATCGCGACACGCTATTTTTCAGCAGCAGCAACGCAGTTGAAGCATCCGCAACCGCAACGAGAACCTCCAAAGAAACATGATCATGATCGTAGAGACCTAACAATGTATAACAACGACAACGACGAGTCTGCTCCCTACGGCTATCCCTATAATTCCCAGTTCAACGCGATAACACCCTCGTTCGTCCCGTCACCCTACCAAGGCAGCGGCGCATATCAGTATCAGTCGCAACACCTACCGCCCGCGCCCCCCGGCGTCGCGCCCGCCAATAACCCGTACAACTACCCCAACTATCCCAACTACCCGTACCAATACCCACCGTCCTACGCACCGTACCCGGGTAGCCAGCCGCAAGGGCGCCTCACTCCCGACATGACGAACAAGAACAACAAGGAGAAGGGCATCAAGAGAAAGCCCCAGCCCCAACCCCAACCCCAGTCCAACCCCAAGCCCGAGCCCGAGGCGCGCGACAAGAAGGCGCAGCCGTCGGCCGAGTCGGGCGGGATCCCAGAACCGACGCCCGCGTACCTGCGCTTGGCCTCGCTGCCGCCGTTCACGCTGCCGCGGCACCGCAAGATCCTCGTCGTCATCGACCTGAACGGGACGGTGCTGTACCGGCCGAACCGGCGTTACAACCCGACGGGCTTCGTGGAGCGGGCGCACGCGCGCGCCTTCCTGGCCTACTGCATCGAGACCTTCTTCGTCGTCATCTGGTCGTCGGCGACGCCCAAGAACGTGCACCGCATGTGCGAGCAGCTGCTTACGCCGGAGCAGCGCAGCAAGGTCGTGGCCATATGGAGCCGCGACCGGTTCGGGCTCTCGGCGCGCGACTACGAGGCCCGCGTCGTCTGCTACAAGCGGCTGACCAAGCTCTGGGCCGACCCGGCGGTCCAGGCCAGCCACCCCGAGGCCGCACAGGGCAAGGTCTGGGACCAGAGCAACACGCTACTCATCGACGACACGCTCGAGAAGGCCCGCGCCGAGCCGTACAATCTCGTCGAGGTGCCTGAGTTTGCTGGTGAGACGGACGAGAGAGGTGATGTGCTCGCGCAGGTCCATGATTATATTAACGCCTGCGCGCTGCAGATGGATGTCAGCACGTATATCCGCACGCACCCGTTCAAGGCTGATCCGGACCATGTTCTGCATCCCCACGACGGCTCTCCGGCCCGGGAAGAAGCTTACAGCTCTGAATGAAGGCTAGAAGTCTAAGGTAATGGGCAAGGCGGAGCTTATGTCAGGCGTAGCCGGTCGTGATTTTCTCGATTCGCATTAGGAGTTGGGGACAACGGGGAAATGGCAGGAAAGGAGAAAATATAAAAATCATGATGATAGAGCTACGCGATGATGCTATAGATGGACGATGGCTTTTGTTTTGATACCCCGGCTTTCTGCGCCAACCCGTTCCATGGAAAGATGGGTACTATAGAGTATAGAGATAAGGGGATTGTAAACCATTTGTCGAAATTACCGCTCTGGAAGGCGTAATAGTGGTCTATCGAGTTACTAAGAGATTCGTTAACCAAAGATATATGTACCTACCTAACTGTGATATGATGAATGAAAGAGGCAGAGTAGGACATAAATTTACCATTGAGAGCCTCAAGTCAACTAAATGGTACCCTTGGTTTTGAGCCACCGAAGTAGGACGCTATCTGTGAGTCTCTCGTAGTGTTGTTGGTGAGTTTCTCTTTGAAGAGATGATTAGGCCTAAGCTGGACATGGCCAAAAGGCGGCACCATCTGACTAGAGCAAAAGGAAAGGGGGACCGGAAAGGGGGACCAAAAGAAAAGATACTAGCATATGCCAGGGATCGAACCTGGAACCTTTGAGACTCTAAGTCTCACGCTCTTCCCGCTTGAGCTACAAATGCCTACGCTCGGGACATACATCGTGTAATGTATGCCTTGTGATGGGAAGGCTACTGCAATCCTTGAATATAACTGTAATATACCAAACACGTTACTAAAACGTGATTGTACCATACCAAACATGTCACTAAACCCATTGATAATTTCCATGTTATCTAGGCCTGGAGAACAAGAAATGACACTGTTGTAGTGATAGATTTAACTACCTAGGTAGATACCTAGGGTATAGCCTAGTCGTAGCCAGATAGGTGATAGTATCGTCCAGCTGGGGCAAAAAAGGGGAAAGGGGCATTAGCATACGCCAGGACTCGAACCTGGAACCTCGAGACTCTACAGCCTCATGCTCTAACCATTTGGGCTACGCACGCCTATAGGTCGCGATAACGTCCGCGGTGGGTTTGGATTGAAAGACGATTGTCTGTTATTGTATAAATATCTACCACATCTTCACACATCAAACCTTTCTCTCTCTCTCCTTATACCTATCCTTGCCTAGCCTGCCTCCTTTTTCCTTAGCTATTTCTCCAACCCAAGTCTAGCCTAATATATCTATATATATATACGCTATCAAACCTTCTTTCCATCAAATCCGTGAGAAACCTAACACGGCGCTCTATCATAAAACACAACGCTCCACGTACCCACACTCACTCACTCACTCCCTCCCTTCACGCCCCAAACACAGCCTTCAACCCCTTAAGCGCCTGCTCGTTCGCCGTAAACAGGATCCCCCCCGCCATCACCGTGCGCCCCAACCGCATCACCGTCCCGCGCCAGAACCCCCTCACCCCGTCCTCCGCCAGTATCGTCCTCACGCACTCCCGCGTGCCCACGGCCCTCGCCTGCTGCGCCTTCGTCTTGACCGTGTCGAACGGCTGCGTCGCCAGCGTCGTCAGCGTCCCCGCGAGCGCGCCGTTCCCGAAGCTCATCGCGGCGCCCTCGACCTCCCACCCGCGCGCCCCCTCCCAGTCCTTGAGCGCCGCGTACGAGCCCAGCCGGAACCCCGTCGTGCCGACCTGCTTCAGCGTCGTCGTCGCGTACCCCCGGTACAGCGCGCGCCGCAGCCCCTGCTCGCGCCGCAGCACCGCGACGCAGTGGAGCGGGGACCGGAAGCGGCGGCCGGAAGAAGAAGAAGAAGAGGAGGAAGAGGAGGAGGAGGAGGAGGAGGCGCCGTCGTCGATGAGGGCCGTCTTGATGCGCTCCGAGGGTGTGACGACGACGGTTGATGCTACGACGCCCGTTAGCATGCCCGCGCCGATGGACTGCGCGGTGCTGGAGCGGTGCGTAGTGGGGTCCTCGAAGACGGAGCGGATGCTGTCGAAGGCGACGAAGCGCACGGCGTCTTTCCCGATGGAGCCCTGTGAGCCGCGCCGCGGGTGTCAGTGACGTGGGCGAAGGTACAGTGTGTAGGTTAGGTAGGTACGTAACACTTGAACGTACGAGGTATGTAGTGTGGCGTGGGGGTTGGCAGGTAAGTAGAGGGTACGACGTGGGTAGTACTACTAGTAGTAGTGCTACATAGGAGAGAGACAGCGGGTCGGCCCGCCTACTGGCAGCCATGGACGAAGTTGCATGCAAGGCACGCAAGGGATGAAGACGGGGATGGGAAGCAGGCTCGTTCCATCCGCAGGGGCCGAATCCAACATCAGGTGTTTCTCATGGAAATTTTCGTAGTAGCCTACTACTCAGGATTTCGATTACGCGTGCGCCCCTTGGCAGGAAAAGGGGGAGGAGAATAAAAAAGAGTGCCTTCTGATGGGGGGTCTGCTCAATCGAGTAGGAGATACATGGCTGGCTTGAGGCGTAGCTGTATATCTGCTACGCCCACACGTAAAGAGGCATGTAATTGTGCCATATGCACGCAGTTGAAGATCATTCTGTCTATCGGGCCGCACGAAGGGGTTACCCCCTTGGCAAGCATCAACGCCGTGTTGGCATCGAAGTTGCTGCACGCATATAGCTGACTCACCACCGCAAAGCATTTCCCTGGTAAGCAAGACAAGGGATGAAGGGGAGCCGCTTGAGCTCACTTATAAGTCCAACAGTGGGGAAAAGGGGGGGGGGGGACAATAGAGCCATTGAAAGGGGAAGTAAACCGCGAAAGCAAAAAAAAGTATCAAATACCCGAAAAACTCGACACATACCACGATCATAGTAGAGCACCCCTTATACAGCGCCCTTACCCCTTCCTCGCGCGCGACCTTGGCTACGACGTAGAAAGGGTTGCGCACGCCCCCGTGGCCGTACAGCTGCACTCGCGTCTTGGCGAACTCGAAGGGATACGTGCAGGCGGCCTCGACGCCTCCGGCGATGCCGCCGGCCGCCAGCGCTAACCACGGCGACGTCTTGTCGCCCGCGTCCGCGACCATTTTTCTTCTTCTTACTCCTTCGGCCTTCCTCTAACCCTTGTTTTTTCTTATTCGGGACTCTTATCTTTTCGTGTTGTTCGTTAAGACGTGATTTATTAATTCATGGGGCGTACATGTATATATGGTAATGCTGGTAGTTATATGCGACCTCGGTTACGGACCGGTGTGTCTAATATGAAATGATGTGCTATGCAATATGTATGTACGATATGCGCCGAGCCCGATGCGAAATGCAAAGTTGATCGAACCAAAAGTTGATATTCAAACCTAGAAAATAGAATAGGTTGGCAGGGGGAAAGAGTTATGACGTTGATTAGTAGTAGTTAGAAAACCCACATACAAGAAATCAAAGATAAGATATACTCCGGTAATAGGTAAATTCACGGGGCGGATCCGCATCCGGAGAGCCGGCCTACCCTTGGCAAAAAGCTGGGGGAGCATTACCAAGGTTAGAAACCGGTCCCCCCTTACTTCGTATGTTAGTTCTCCCCTAACCGAGAAAATAGAGAAGCCCCCCACACCTCCCACCTCGAAGATCTACCTTTGTGGGGCGTGTCGCGAGGCGCGGCTCTTCGAAGGAGGTCAGGGGGTCGGGGGGTCGGGGTCATGTCGGCGTCGCATATAATACCATCGTACGAATTATAAGCCTGCTCGTGGTTCTACATATAACTATAGCTATGTGCTGTCGTCTAAGCATAATGATGCTCAGGGATATAGACATGTACACATACTCTCTTATTAGTCCTGGTACATCGCATCGGTCACGTATTGTAGCAGGCTTTCTAAACCGGTGCTGGAAGTTTCCATGTTGAGTCTCAAGTGCTTCACGTAATGCCTCATAACTTATTCTCATTCATTATTCACTGGCTAGTGGCGTAACCTCGTCGCGCCATCGTGTCTTCAGTCCATACTAACACGCTCCAACTATTTAGCGCTGCTAGAAAGGAATATCAACTGCTCGAGGTTGTACGGCCAGATATGGCGTACTCGCAGTCAAACCCCATCCATACCCCATGCCAACATGCAGAGAGCGCCTTTCTAGACTATGATGAGAATATACTCCCATAGGGCCAATGTTTTCCCATAACACAGCAATTTGCCATGTCTGATAGAGACAAACATTGGTCAGAGTAACCACCAAACGCAGCAAGAAGGAAGTCGCTAATAGAGGTAATGCTTTTCCGTGACCGTAACATCAAAAGCCCGAGTACTCCGAATGGAAAACCGGTCTGGTTCGCCTACTAATATGCGGGACCGGGGCCCTGGTGATCCCACTCGGCACTCATATTATCTGCCTGACCGACATCGGTGCCCCAGTCGAGCTTCTCCAGCTCGCGCTTGAAGAAGTCCTGCTCGTTTCGCAGCTGCTCCCTGATATCCGCCGCCATCTGGTCGGGATATCTCCTCATGTTGAACCAATGCGTCAAGCTGCGGAGGGCCTGCTCCAGTGGCAGCGCCTCCTCGACCTCGGCGTCTACGTCGCTGCCTGCTAACCACTCGTCCCTGAGCTCTGGGCGGCAGTGCAGGTATATCGCGGTGATAACGCGCATGTTGCTCTGTCGCCACTTACGGCCGCAGTAAGGAACCTGGTTCTTGAAAAGCTTGAGCGTATACAGTCGCAGCTCGTTCTGCGGCACCTTGAGAGATTTGCGTATGATGTTAGATGACTTATACTGCACCAGTAGCAAATTGCGATGGGCCTTGTTCTTGCAGATTTTCTGCATGATTCGCAGATAGTTGATCAGCGCAAAGAAATTGCGCCGCGAGAAATCCGTGATTGGCTCCTTGGGCAGAGGGTTCACGGGATAGCCCAATTCGTCTACCTCAGGACGAGTCGAGACTTGACCCTCAGTCTTGATCGCAGATTCATTACCTTCGCCGGCCACTTGCTCGGACGGTGATCTTCGCCGTTTGATAGGCGGCGGGGCCGCATCGTCCTCGCTCTCTTCCTCCGGGCCTTCCATCTCTATTGGCTTCGCCTGCATTTTCTTGGTGGGATGGGCGCTCATACAATATTGGAAGAAACTAGAATATGTGAGCCAAGACTACCATGTAACGGCGGGGCGTATACCTGTGATCCAGGCGGTCTGTTTTGCTATCTACCACCTGCTGAACGTCCTGATGCGCAAATAGCTTAAGGACTAACGGGAGATAATTGGAATCCAATAATAACTGTGCTAAGTACTCAAATTTCAGGATGTCTAATCGCGCGGTTAGCAAGTGTTACCATCTGGGAAATCCTAAGCACCTACGCGAGATCTTGAGCCATTTCATTAATAGGAGAATGATACCCGTGGCTGCTTTCGATTCGATCTCTCTACCCCTCGTAGCATCCAACTCTTCTAGCTGAACTCCATCGTCGTAAATCTTATCCTGCGATCTGTTAGGAGCAGGGCCGCCACTAACGCGGGGCTGGTCGACGCCAGAGGCTACCGACTGCTGCTGGCTATTAGCGGGCAGGGCAATGCATGCGGTAACATTCAGCAATACGCCCTTCATCAGGACAATGACCAAGGATTGCAGTTGGGGTAAAGCAGCGGCCTGCCAATAATCAGTAATGATCTGTCGGTACCATTACGAAGTCCACTCACGTAAAATGTTTCGATAGCCTCCAACCGCCGCTTGACTTGTGGATCGATATTCGGGTTTGGACCATAGTCGATCTCAGCTCCCCGGGCCTTCCGTTGTCTTTTTTCGATGACTTCGAGAATCTTGTCGTCATCAACATCATCACCGACATCCAAAGAGTCCAGATCTAGATCTAACTCTTGTATGTCGTCATCGGCCGGGTCGTACCCTCTCTCGAATTTCTGAAATTTCTCGCGTTCTTCCCATAGCTGCCTCGTGGCCCGGGTCATCCGCACCCGCTTCGAGAACAATTCGCCAGCCTCAAGGATAGACGCAGGCACATCGCTACCTTCCCACTTGCGCCCAACGAGGAAATCTTGAAGACCAGCTGCCCCCTTGCCACCTGCGCTGTTGCTGGTGGCATCTAAAGG